AAAAAAAACTATTTAATTTTGTATGTGAATGTATGTAAACAGGCAGTGAAATGTAAGAAATTGCACCAATTAAAATCTTGCCTTGGGTTAGGCTGGGCCTGCCGGGGGCTAAGCCCCCCCAGAGATCAGATTCTAGAATCGCCCCTGGGGAGGACACTGGCATAAACCCACACAAACACAAGAAAAATGAACAAACTACCAACCACAACCTTCTTGCTGTGAGGCAACAGTGCTAACTAACCACTAATCCACCGTGCCTCTCAAGGATTTCCTGTTACTGCAGATGTGAAAGGTGGAGCTTTACTCACAGCCAGAAGGCAGACAGTTAGGAGCAGACACAGGAGCACATGTCGAGCCATTTGTCTGTCTGTAACCTGYTGGAGCTCCTCCATCTGAGCAAGCAAGCAGTCCGCTGACTCACAGACGTCCTCACACTGACCTGAGGGACACAACAGACGCTGAACATTTAGGATTTAYAAAAGCAAATTGTTGGTGCTTCAAATGCACACAAATCAGGTTAAAACATTAACATTTAACTTTTCATTTCAAACTTTCACAWAAGAGAGACAAAACCTGAWTGTAGTTATTAGTAAACTACCTGTGAGGGGAGTTGGGTTGTTGTTCTTATTAGTGCTGATGATCATATCAGGCATGGGCGAGGCTGGAGCGCAGTCACATGTGAGGCATGCTGATAAAAAGGAACAAGTGTAAATGATTCTCTAAGAATATATATAGTTTGTCCTGTTCACACTAATGACAGACAGTAAAAACTATTGTAATTCCAGTAATAACTGGTTAATCCCARGTTCAATGCTTAAAATATAAAATCAAATGTTGATTAAAGAGAACATATTTTCCCTTTACTTTTGACTTTTTCTACATTTAAACCATTCARTTGGGGTCTATATAAAATGGAACTGCAATGCTTTGGTCTGAATTCCTCTTTTTTGTAACTCCACAATCCCCTCTTTCACTCCCTTTCTGATGCGTGTCTCAGATCAACTCATTTTGAGGCTGTCTCTTTAAATAAAAATGAGGCACTTCATGCCTTTGAGATTCCAAGTACACAAGAAAATGCATTTAATGAGCTAAAAGTGGATTTTGCATAAAATGTCCCCAAATACAAACAAACAAAAAAAAWAATAATTTCAACATAATCTCTATTTTGATGATGGCTTTACGTATGAATTTATTTCATGCTTTTAAAATAATTCTTTGCAAATTATAAGTACATTGTGTATTTAACTACTTCCTATAATGCACCTCWATCTCTAGTGAAAAAGCACAGTCATGGGCTCAGTTGCAACTATCTTGTATTTCCTCCAAACAATGACATCTGGTTTTCTACTTCTCTCCTGACATTACTTTACTCTTTATCTTTCTTGTAAGAAACTAGCTGGATGCGTTTGTCTCAGTTAAACGTTCTGCAGAAGATACCTTGGTCACTTATTGAGTTTTCTGGCTCTATCAAAGACTGATGTTCTGCTTCAACTTGTGGAGCATCAAAGGCTGAATATCCATCATCATCTTGATCATTCTGGGCCCAGCTTCCTCTACTTAGACACACCAGAGACCCTCCTCCCAGAAGTATGCCGAAGCTGACTACAACTGTGGTGCAGATTATCTGACAAAAAAAAAAAACAAAAACAAAAAAAGCTGCATTTATATTGATTTTAATTACGAATATAAATGACAGAAAACAGCTTTTATTAAAGTATTGTGTTTTGTTACCTGTAATCTGCCATAGAAGAAAGATGAATCAATTATGTTGGGTATTTTCTGCCCAGTAATGAGCATAACAGCAGTAACAATAGATGGAATCCTATAACAAAGTAAATTTGTTTAAATCATTAAAATAACAAAAATGGATCTGCAGCAGTGATACAATGATTTGCATTTGACAACTCCATAATGGTTGATGCAAATTCTGTATTCATTTTGTTTGGATTAAATTCTCTAGGGTTTTTTTTTTAATCTTTTTGGCTTTGTCCTCCATTTTATTATTTTACCATAATAGTTTTATTTTTTTATCTTTTTATATTTCATCTTCCTTTTCATTTCCTTGAGTGCATTTTACTCCTAGTTTTAACCAAATTCCTGTGGATGTTTTTTTTAACACTCACAGGACTTCCTGTTTTACCACAGTACAAATATTTTTTTATTGAATAAACTGTGCCATCTGTCACTTCTTAATCTTCATATAGATAGTTTTAAATGTCAGATGAAAAAGTTATGCTTTACATTTGACTGCTTTTAGACATTTTAACAATCGCTATTGCAGCTAACACAGTCTATTCTTTGTTTTGCATTTCTCCCATGACACTCTGAAAGACAATCTCCTTCATTTTCATATTTAGGCTGTGATGCACACGAGTCAGAAAAAGCAGCCACAGGAAAAGTCAAAGAGAACACTGATATAAATATCCAAGGGTAAATATATACAAGTAATGATTACAAATATAAATATTCATACTTTTAAAATAAACAGTAATTTTATAATTATATACACTGCACATATTTCCCTTTTCACTTTCATTTCCGAGAAAGAAGCTGTGCAGAAATGCAAAGCAACAATAAGAGATAAAAAATAGTAAATGAAAGTATTTCTTGTATGCATTTTTTTAAAAAGCATAATTGTATAACTGAGAGTTATAGTCACTTGGGTATTTGCTAAGGTTGATTAGATGTGGYGGCCCTCTTAAATAAAGTTAACTACAAATTGCTCTGATCATTTCACTGAAATACATCAATATATTATTTCACTAACAAGTATTTTACTAACAGTCAGACACACACAATTACAAGATCGCCTGTCCTGCATACTGGTAGGCAATAAAAAATAAATATTACATTTTATCCAAATTCATTGGAATATTAATATATTTGGGGGATTTGTTTTTTTTACATTTATTCTTGATAATTTCATAAAGTTTACTTAATTTCTGCAAGCTAACCTCTGGTACAGCAATACACTTTGATTAACACTTTGATGACATGTAATCATGCAGTCACAGTTCACAAACTTGAGTTGTGGTTTTGTCTTACCAGACAAACAGTCCTGAGTTTCATTTTCTGTAAAATAAAAGTGACTCACTCACCCCCAGCCTGCGATGACCAAGAACCCCCGTGATCCGTTCAGATCTTCATACTTTTTTATGAGCACAACAGAGAGCGCGATCAATCCTAAAATACAGAAAAAATAAGAAAACTTATCAAAACAAAGTAATGCAGGTTAATGTGACAGTACGGTTACTGGATGACTGCACACATACCTGGCCATATAAAAGTACTGTAGAGGGAGGTACACAACAATGTAAAAGTGAGAACCTGCCCGATGAAGTTGTCTTCCTTCACCACAAAGTTCCACAGAATCATCCCKATGCAACTTAGCAGCTAGAACCAACACCAGAAATAAAACGAAGGACTTTTGTGCAGCGTTACTTACAGATTACTGCTACATTTACTGATTTATTGAGAAGTCTAACAAAATTTGTCTCATTCTTACCTGTGCTAAGAAAAGGTTGAGAGTAAACATGTGAGGTAGYCTCTTGAATTTCTTACTTAGAAACATGACAGTAATTGTCCAGAGCTGTCAAAACAAATAAATACACAAATTGAAGTTATGAATATTAAGATTTTGCAACAGCTACTGAATATGGTTGGCCTAATTAATCTCCACATAACTTGAAAATGTATTCCAGGTAAAAGAAGTTATTTAGAAAACTGAAGAACAGTTAAAATGCATGATTTTCCTAAATGAAAACAAAGCTGTTGGCATGTTTTAAGACTGCAAATGTATATTTGAAGTTCCTTAAAAAAGTTTCATGAAAGTGAAAATGGGGAAGTGAGTCTGAGTCAGTGAAGCAGCTGCAAGGACACTTCATAAAGATGTTGTTTTAGTGGTTCAAAACATCTCACGAGTCGGATTTTATATCAACAGCAGAATACATTTAGTGTGAAGAGATAAAATAACACAGACTTAAGTGGCCCCCAGGCCAGTCTGAGAGACTAAACAACCAGCTGATAATAAACCAGTCACTAACAACAAATCTGCTTGTGTCAAACTTAAATGTTAAGCTGTCACTTACCAGTGCAACTAAGCTCACTATGCTTATATGAAAACTGACATTCTCAAGAGAACGCATCACAAGCTGGGGATCCATCCAGTGGATTGTCAGCAGCCAGGCTGAAACATACATTATTGGAGCTGAAAGAAATGTGCTAATCACCATCCCTGAGGTTACCTGTTAAAAATCACAAAGATATGCAAAGTAGGTTAAACAGTGTCTGAAAGACAAAGCTGAAGTTGGTTTCCGATTGTAGCTTCCAATATGGGAAAGGACTAAAATGTTGATTCCACCTCATTTTTCACTACATTAGGCATTTTTAATCTGCTCTAGTTTAAAAACTAAAAACACTTAGACATGTCAAAACTGGTCTAGATTATTCTACACTGATTGCAGTATATTTAAAACCAAGTTTGTGATTTGTGAAACTTCATCTGGACTACATTAGATCTGGTCCAGGTGCAAAGCTACAATTTCTAGAGGTTTGAAGAGTCTAGATCAGTGTTTCCCAAAGTTGGGGTCGGGACCCAAAGTGGGGTCCCAAAACATCAAGGAGGGGTCCTGAACAGATTTTCTGAATTAATGACATTTTTGCCTTAGTTGTTACAAAGGAGTGAGGTTAGTGTATTTAAAATGGATACATGTAGTATAAAATATTGTTACTATGCCCATGTTTAGTTGACCTGATACAAATGTTTATCATCCAAAAATAGCTGGGGGCTCAGGTCTGTGCTACTGTTATTTTGTGGGTCAAAAGCTGAAAAGTTTGGGAACCACTGCACTTTGGTTCCCAAAGTCGGGCTTGGGACCCAATTATGGGTCATGAAGCACCTTGGATAATCTCCAGAAATCAATTTAAAGGGTAATAAAATAATTGCTGATGTAATATTTTCTCTATAAATATTACAAAAACATAAAATAACTATAAATATTTATATTTGTGTACAAACTGTTTAGATTGTCAAAAAGCCTGTGTTTTTAGGGTTATTAATGAAGTTTGTGTACTCAGACCAGTAATATTTGGGGTCACAAGTTTAAGCCATGGATATTTTGTGGGTCAGAACATAAAGTTTGGGAACCACTGGTCTAGATGTCATAGTTTTGCATCTGGACTAGGTCTACTGTGGTCCAGATGCATAAAAAGTGTTGAAAATGCCCTTGATCTCAATCACAAATCCCATAAAGTTTTCATAAACMTAAACCTTAGTTTTAAATATTCTGCTATAAGTGCAGAATAATCTAGTCCAGGTTTAAAGAGTCTATGTGTTGTAGTTTTGCATCTGGAGAGTTCTAGTGTGATCCAGATGAGTAAAAAGTGCTGCACTCACACTTTATTGAAGTTTCATAAATCTAATAAAAGGTTTCACAAATAACAAACTTGGTTTTTAATATTCTGCAGTTAGTGTAGAATAATTTATTCCATGTTTGAAGAGTTTAAGTTTTAAAACTAGAGCAGATCAAAGATGCTCAAGGCAGGCAAAAAAAATTCATTCGGAATCGCCCTTTAACAATCAGAAGCTACAATCGTAAACTAACTTCAGCTTCATGTCCAAACGGCAGATAAAACAGATTTAAAAAATACTCACAACTTCTAGTTCTGCGTTATAATAAACAGCATAAATGGCCACACTTGGTGCAGTCGGGAACACTCCATAAACAAAGGCATAGTCAGAGAGGCTGGAGTGGTTCATAGGGCTGGTGGTGTTRTCCAGCAGATCAACCATGTCCTTACAAAGAAGGGGCATTAGAAGCCTTTAAATCAAAACAAAAGAGACGGGGCAGGTGCATTTATTTAAAGAGCTGGTAAACCGTGAATTGTGGTGCAACTAAAACATGTACTTAAGTAGGCAAGTACTCTCTGAGAGCTCTAAATGAAGCATCCATTTGGTAAAGCCTTGTGGCCTGCAAAAAGTCTGCGTCATCCAAACCATTAGCACAAAACAACATGTCGGGAGCACTTTACTTCCTTCTAAACACTCACAGCATGCATCATCAAAGCACTGCAATTATAATCAAATCTTTTCTGTACAAAATGAACATTAAGCTTAGTGGCTGAAATAATTTCACTCACAGTTTTGCAGTAATGAGTAGAATCAGTGTGACGACTGTGGATCTGGTCAATTTCTTCAACTGGCCCACCATGGACAGACCCAAGTAGAACAGAGCTGCTCCCCCGAAGGAGTTGGCCAGGCCATCTATAAACTCAGCCATGAAAGCGGGAATTTTCTGGTGCAGGACAAAATGGGCGGCGATTCCAAAGACGACCATGAAAACAATGGGGTTCTTCAAGACCTGTAGGACTACATGTCCCACGATCAGCAGTTTGCTCTGTTGCTGGTCTCTCCGATTCTTCCACTTTTGGATCTCACAGAAGGCAAAGCCGATGGGATTGAGGATCATCAGGGACACAGGTGCAACCAGGTAAATATACTGAAGGTACTCTGGGTATGTGCTCTGGTAGAGGGCTTCAACTGTAGATGAAAATGATGAAAAATGGGTCACAAAGAAGTCATGAAAATCTAAAATCCCTCAAAGAAGAATTAATTTGAATGCGTGATCCTCCACAGTTTACAGCTGCCTTAAAAATCCCTCATTATGGAACCATAAACCACATAAACCAGTGTTTTTTTTCACTAGAGGATATAATTATATTGTTTTTGTTATTGCATGGGAAATATTAAGAGGAACTAAGTGCAATAGTTAGTTTTTACGTATTGTTTGTTGTTAGTATTGTGGTGATCTTCATTTCACCAAGTGTCAACGTGTCAAGCTTTAAGATACCCTCAGATAATAATAATTATTGTTTACTTTCGATAATGATTATATGAGAGCTGGAGTTTCMCTGAAACAGGAAAGACCAACAGTTCTAGTTTTAGTCCAAGAAGAATTTCATAAAGTAAAACACAAGCTGAAACTAAACCGAACTGTCACTGATTGCAAAATAAAAGAGCCGTGCTACATTTATTGTGCAACACGGTTTGCATATGGACTGAGAACAAGTTTATCCTGCTTTTACTGTCAAACTGTTACAGGAATTTGCTCATTCATTTAAAGATGCCATTAGCTTCACCCCATACATAAACTACTAGTGTTTCTGATGGTGGTGTTGTAGCTCCTCTATCACTTAAAGCAGCAATAATATATTGTCATAGCTACTTTGTTTACAGTTCCACACATGGATGTGGACACTTCTGATGATGTTTGAACAAGCATTACTTCTGCATGAAGCAGTCAGCTGGAATAAAACACTTTACAACTCACCTATTGGATACCCTAAAGCGAAGTCGTTGCTTTGGGTAGCGAATATTGAGAAGATGCCAGCCTTGCTGAAGCGACTGTCCGGACTGGAAACAATCAGGGTGAGGACACAAACAATGAAAAACACGCACACTTTGGCGATGAGGATGCTCCAGAGGAAGGGCCAGATGACATCCCCGAAGTCCAACAGCACCATGTTCTTGAACAGCAGTGCTGGGAGAGCAAACCTGGACACAAAGTTCCCCAGTCCTTTGGCCTGAGTGGGGGTGATGATGTTTGTCCTCCCTGCTACGTATCCACACAATATGATGCCAAAACACTCCAGGAGGGCTGGCAGGAGCTTGTCTATGGACATGGTGGTGGTGGAGGAGGAAGGAGAGCTGTCCATCTCCAAACTGCTGCTGCTGCCTGGTGTCTCCATCATGCTGATCCCGCACTGTGGTGTCAGCTGTCAGGGCTGGTCTGTGGTCATAATGTGGAGCTTGTCATCGGCTCTGCAGGGTMCTGAAGGCGGAAGGACGCTTTAAGTTGCTTTAATTAAAACCAAACAGTAATTTCCTAAACAGCATCATGAATTTTTAAWAATAGTGTTTCCAGAAAGTCCATAAAAAGACTTACTTATCCACTTTTGTAACTTCTTGAACTCACCATGTCAGCATGTTTGTTATCAACACCGGGACTCACCTCTTGTTTTCTCCCTTTATGTGCGCCATGTGTCGGTCACAGCTCGGTGCGAGTGGCCGTTAGGAGTAAACCGACCGGCTAATGTTTGGCTAAAAAACATAGAAGTAGATGAAACACGAAACTAAACTTGCCGTTTTCCTGTAGGAATCCGTTAAAATGACACTGAAGGGTCCTCTCACCGTGTCGCGTTTCATACGGTCACATTGTTACGACCGCCCACCCATTACTTTTCACCCTGATTTGTCAACACAACTCCACCAATCATGTTTCAGGAAGAAGGAGAGGGGCGGGGCTTATCTTGTTCCTCTGCAGCGCAAACATTAGGGCCAGTTTTCTAATAGCCTATAATAAAACCAGAACATAAAAACGTTTTTAAATCGTTACCTTTACAAATATTTATATATTTGCTGTACAGTTCAAGTGAAAAAGTGTAAGTCCTAATATGAAAAAAAAAAAAGATGCAATAAGCTGGTTGCACAAGTTTAGGCCTACACACCTTTAAACTAATTCTTTGTTGATGCACCTTCTGATTTAATTACTGTCTTTAGCATTCTTGTGAACTGGTCCATCAGCATGTCACAGCTTAATATTCACCCAGTCTTTCATTTAAAAGTGTTTCCAGTCTGTCAGATTGTGTGAGGTTCTCTGCTGCAGCCCTTGCTGGGTCACCACATCAWATTTAGATACAGACTCTGGTTAATCCCTGCCACAACTTTTATTTTCTACTGGTGAATCATTTTGTTGAGTTGGATCTAGAGTCACTTATGTTTTAATCAATGATTACCTTTTTGGCAGATTCCAAAAAGGTTTCGGACCATAATGCACTATTCGTAAATCCACTGACTACACCCCTGGCTCAAGCTGCAACCAAAAARCAACCTCACAGCCAGTGTAACCAGTACTTCACTATGGTATTATTTCCGCAATCCAAAGCCTTGTTCATGCAAACTTACTTTTTGGAATTGGGGCCAAAAATTCCCATTGGGTAAATCAGCATTTAACACATTTCTCACGTGCGTTGGGATATTTGATGTATATTTTTAGTATTATTTGGCCATCCCTGATTTTTTTTATTTAATTTTTTTCTATTGTAAGAAACTGTTCTCTATCTTGAAGTCCAGGTATGATGTTACATGCAGACCACAGCCATTGCCGCTRCATACCTGACCAGTTTTTGTTTTATTATCTGAAACTCTGTTCTTCCATTTATGCATCAGTCTATGCCATCTTTTATTTTTTCCTTATTATTCCTTACAACATTTAATACTTTTCAGTTGGATTGTACAGAATAAATGTCAGTAAAAGTAGAAAAAGTCCTGAATTGATTGGTAATGTTTTCATTTGTTTTATGAGCCAAAAAWTTTTTGTATTTTAACAGTTTGCATTCAGCTTCATTAAAAGAGTTAAAATAAAATACAGAACTCATTGAAACATTATCTGTGCTTAAAAGTGTGTTGTGTGTACATATATTGGTGTTCTAAAGTTCTTAGGACACCAATATTTTAGACACATTTATTATAGAGTTGGACAACTTTGCGTTCATGTTACAAATGCATTCTTGCTCAGTACTTTATTGCTGCGAAGTTACTCAGTAATATTTACTTTGTGTTGGTATCATTCTAATCCACACTGACTGAACATTGCCTATTTTAGGAAATCAATGATTTTAAACTTTAAATGCTCATAAACATCCCCTGCTATTTGTGGCTCTTAAAGTGAAGAAAGAATGACTCAATTCTTCCAGTTCAGCAACACTTAATCTGTGATAAGCTTCATGGTGAAATGAGCTGAATTACTTCAACACACAGTGTTTCAAAACGGGACAGCACTTCTAAGGCCTGACATGCAACATGTATTTCACATCTGTGAAGGCAYTGAAACTGTGACACATAGTTTGTTAAAACATGCTCATCTAAATAAGGAGACCTGCGAACATTTTTCCTGACACAATGGAGTCATGTAACAAAATAACAGTATGATCCAGAAAGTCCCACTCTTACATTAGAAAAAAAAGAAGTGAAAGTTTGTCATATGTTCAAAATAGATACACTTCTTGAAATAAGAGTAATCAGGTTGTTGGATTTCTCATCAGATCAGGTGTCTGTTCGATGTGTTTGAGACCTTTTGTGACACTGCAGACATCACACGTCTTGATGATCAATAAACACAGGTGACTTTTAAATCAGCATGATCTAAATCAGCTCCATAGATGATTTGGCATTGCTTATTGTTGAGAATAACAATGTTGATAACATTTTCACACACACACACACACACACACACACACACACACACACACACACACACACACACACAC